CCATTCTGTAGCTAAACTGACTAGGTTCAGTCATCATCTGGAATGCCTCCAGGGGGCCAGGTGGGCCTAGGGGTCGAAGTCACCTGTGCCCAGAGATACACTCCTTAGTTCCTGGAGTGAGGCTTTCGAAATCCATACGTCTCTCCTATACAGGCCCTCTTTGCTGGCAAATGTATGAGGCTCTCCTTCCTTTAAGTAGAGGAGTCTCCATGGGGGATGGCAAGGGCTAAACGTAAGGCCGCACAATTTCTTGCGGAACCTTATTTTCTTCCCTAATGGTTCTTTTCCCAGGGGGCCTGCCGAGGGCAATTCCCCAACAGACGACACCCCAGGTAGTTTTAAGGCCGAATTACCTAAAAGCGGGAGCACAAGAAGCTTCACTGTGGGTGGTGACCCTGCAGTCACCAATCCGTCCACAGCCCGGGCCCTGCCACGCAGGCTGGGGAGCTCGGCTTCCAGCACTGGCAGGACACAGATGGCTCTCTCCAAACCAATGGTGGAGACTCTGAAAAAAGGGCATTATTTGGAAAGGTCGGTATTAAGGAAACACAGGTTAAGAAAGGGTGCAGTTAGGGAGCTATGACCACCTGTAACTCTGGAGGGCAAGGGAAGGAGGGGTTTCCAGGACTGGAAAAGGAGCAGCCTGCACCGATCACAAGAAAGCGACTAGAAGGCTAATTACCCCAAGTTTACAATCTCCTGTTGGCGGTGCCCCCCACTGGCCAAACTCTACTGGAAATCAGAGGGCAGGGGAGCTCCAGTGACGTATTGTCTTTAAGTCAGCCTCTCAGGACACTGAACAAGTTGAAGAAGAGTGGAGAGTAGGTACATAGAAGCAAATGGAAAATATCCTTGCCCAATGTGGGTAGGTTCCCCTGATGTTGTAGGATTCAGCAGCCCAGCACATGTTAAGGAGGGCAGAGCAAGAGCATAGGAGGAGCCTAAGTCCCCGATGGCACCGGGAGTCACCATAGCAGCTGTGAACGAAGTACACTGAAACATCTAACCATATGAGGAAAATAAACCATCATGTGGGTACATCACTTTGGTCCGGTTTCAGTTATATGCCCACAAGCAGTCCTATGTGATTTGTATGCATCTTACATTTGTGGTATCATTAGTTGATACAAAGTATATCTGAGTCATTTTCACTCCGTGTTTACTTTGTATCAGTTGAGAGTCAGATGTTCGTCATTCCTTCTTACCCAAAGGGCCTGCCTTGGCTGAGTGTACTACTTGGTAGATAAGGTCTCAGATAAAATTTGTTAAGGCTGATAGAAGGACTAGAAGGAAAGGAAGAAGCAATCTATAGCAGCAATGAATCACTACATTGGGTCAGGCTGAGAGCCTCTGTTATTGCCTCTGTCTCCCAGGGCTGGGCTCCAAGATCACCCACGTGGGGCAGGAGCTAGAACTAAAAGGAGCCTCGGCTCCCTCACTTTTTCCTGATGGGGCTCAATGATGGGTCATCTTCTTGTCCCAAGAGGAGGCACTCCGGGCTCTTCTCTGTTACCAAGCTACAGCCACTGCACCTGCAATGGGCCTCTTTCGCCCTCTTTCGCACAAGAGGAGTGCTTTTCTTCCTCGACTCGCGCACCAGTTGCCTGTTCCGGTAACTGGTGTGGGCACTACCTGGCCTAGAGTCCTGCCTTGCTCTTGCCAGCTGCCCTTCCCATGCCTTGGCCACAGCCCTAGCCAAGACCTGTGGCTGGAGCCCTGCGATCTGTGAACAGACCTCTCAGACACCATCTGCTTCTCTCATCTCAGGAGCAGTGCCTGCCCTGCCTCTCTGCTGAGTCCTGCCCACCTACTGGCACTCCCCAGAACTCCTCCCCAGACCTCTGCCAATAAGCCCTTGGCCTGAGTCCTCAGTCGAGATTAAGGTATCCTTTGGACGTGGCCATTTACACTCTTGGCTGAGAACACAGAGCCGTCTGCCACCTCCCAGCACCAGCCCCTCCCTCCCTGGCTGACTCCTCAGTGGCCTGCAGCTCAGAAGGAACAGTAAAAGCAGTAGTAATATAACGAAAATGACAAAGATGATGCAAATAAAACAATCTACTATGTACTAAGTGCTAACTACATGTCACACACCACCTACGTGCAGCATAGCCCTTGCTTTGCATGGCGACAGCACGAATTTCAAGTATCAATCATTTGGTTTCCTACATCAGGCCCTCAACAATACAGTTCACCGTTCAAATCTGTTACCCGAGTACATTAACTGTGAGTACTTGCCTAAGTACAAATTTTGCTGCTAGCTTTTTAGTCCATGAAATGACTATGCAGGTAACAGATCCAAATCATGATCTGTGACCAATCGTGTCACTTCTCAGTCAGCCAGTCAATAGATGACTGGAATTTGTTATTCAGTTTATGCACAGACAACAAAGCATGTGGTCATGTTGTCTCCTTCATTCCCAGTGGTAAACACCTGTGATATTTACAAAAAAAAAAAAAAAGGATAATCGAATTGCCAACAAAGATAATAGTGTAGCAAGGAAACAAAAAGCAATAGTGGTGAGAGTGACGTTCAAGTCAAAGGTAAATGGAGATAGAGAAGAAACAGCTGGCTGTGGGATGACATTGTCGCTCTGTCACTATTCTACTCTGGATATGCAGCCAGAAGAATTTAGTAAGGGTAAATTTATGAACATAACTGCAGACAGTAGCCGTGCAGGAAAGAATGAAGATGTTCCAAGGGAAGAGACATGGATAAAAAAAAAAAATCACCTGTCATCTCAAAGATATTTCCTGACATCGGAAGTGCAAAGAATAAAATACAGAAAGCTGATCCAAATCTGGAAAGGAGCATGACAGTTTGCCAAGGATGGAAAAAATGCTCACTCTGTACAGTAAGTTGTATGACAGACAGGAAGGTAAGCACTGTTCAAACTACTCTCGATTGAGTTTTATACCAAAACCAAACAAAAACCCCCAAACTCAAACATTTAATTCTCAATGTTTCTAACGATTCAAATTACAGGATAACAAATAAAATATTGGGTCTACTAATTTTCTCATTTCCCTAGGCACTTAAAACCAACAAGAAGAGTTGGTTTTCTCTTTGTTTTCTAATGTTTATTTTTGAGAGAGAAAGACAGAGTGTGAGTGGGGGAGGGGCAGACAGAGGGAGACACAGAATCCGAAGCAGGCTCCAGGCTGTTACCACAGAGCCCGACGCGGGGCTCGAACTCACGGACCGTGAGATCTTGACCTGAGCTGGAGTCGGTCGCTCAACCGACTGCGCCACCCAGGTGCCCCTGTGTATATTTCTGAATCCATCGTTTCTTTATCCTTCAGCATCCTGCTCCATCAAGTGTCAATCCTCCGTGAGGCAGGCCTGGTTGGTTGGCTCAAGCAACTTTCATTTCCCACTTCATTCTCCTTTGCTTGTTTCTTCAAAAAACAAAACAAAACAAAACAAAACAAAACAAAACAAAACTACTTTCCCAAACTCCTGTGGCTACCCTCCTGGAAGATGACCCCCAAAGTCTGTTCTCCTCTTCTTTTTCTGAACCTTGAACATTAGTTGGGAACATGGCCATTCCAAATAAAAACTACATTTCCCAGACGTTCTTCAACTAGTCATGGCCTTGTGGCCAAATACTGGCTCATGGGATGTAAGCAGAAATAACATGTACAATTCCAGAATGTATTCTTGAGAAGGGAATATTCCTTTCCTTCATTCTTTCCTGTTGGCTGGAATGTAGATTCAATAGCTGATGCTGGAGCAGCCATCTTGGACCATGAGTTGGAAGGAGGAATTCCAATCCACAAATTCCAATCCACAGAGTCTACAAATTCGTGAGGACTTGGTGAAATACAGCTGCCATGCCTCCCAGCTTTGGACTGCTACCTGTAAAATTCATTTCTATGGGATAAATATAAGCTTTTAAAGCCATTATTGTTTTGGTATTTCTGTCAGTATAGTGAATGTAATCTTAATATACTGAATGACCTACTTCTGGCCAATGAAACCCTTGGGTGAGTGTGCTAGATGCCTTCCAGGCAAGATGCTTTTTCTCCTTGTAAAAGGAGAGTTCTATTTCCCCATCCTGGCTGTCTTCCTGCCTTACATCTTCGGGCATGGTTATGTGAGGACATAATGCCCAGAGCTGCAACAACCTTCTTATGACCACAAAGGCAAGGCCAAGAAAAATTCAGAGCCACTAACCAGAACGGTGACACTATTGAACTACTGAACTAATCCTGGACCCACCTACCCCAGATTTCTTGTGCAAGATAATGAACAGCCTTATCATTTAGCCTCCGTGTTGAATATTCTGCTACTTGCAACAGAAAACATTTCCAAGTGACATGTTCTCTTGCTATGAATATTTGTGCCCTCCTCCCCAAATTCATAGGTGGAAATCCTCACCCCCAAGGTGATGAAACTAGGAGGTGGGGCCTTTGGTATTTTGGTGTGTAGGTCATGAGGGTGGACTCCAGAGAGCTACCCCACCCCCTTCTATCATATAAAGATACAGCGAGAAGTCAGCAGTCTGCAACCTGCCAGAGGGCTCTCCCCAGAACCTGACTGTGCCGGCATTCTGATCTTGGACTTCCAAGATTACAAGTAATCTCTACATGTAATGTGGGGCTCAAACCCACAACCCCAAGACCAAGAGTCACATGCTCTACCGACTGAGTCAGCCCCAGCAGCCCAAACTGATTAAGACATCTCTATTGCTCCTACAGGCTCTCCTTTTCAACTGCATCCTTCTGGGGCCCTCAGACATGCTCGTCTCATCCATGCAAAATAGTAACAGCTTGCCATGTATCCATTTCTCCCTGCAGCCACTGTATTTTCTTTCCTTTCATGGGCGAGGCTCTGTAAAAAATAGACTATACACATTATCTGCCCCTCCCTGTTACTCACTTTGATTTTCTGTGGCTTTCCTTCTCCCATTCCACTGAGTCTGTTAATCTAGGCCACTGATAACCTCTTAATTTGCAAATCCAACAAGACACTTGTCTTTTTCTTATCTGACCTCTCTATGGCTTTTGGCTTTGATAACCACTTCCGCCTCTGTGAAACCCCCTTCACCTGTGGCTTTTTTGACATCACCCTCACCCGGTTCCCTTTTGACCTCTCTGGCTCCTCATTCTCCATTTCCTTCACGAGTGCCTCCTTTTTTGTCTTTACCTCTTGAAAGATTGGCTTCTTTGGGATGCTGTTCTGCCTCACTCTTCCCTTGCTACACTCTCCCTCTAGGCGGTAACTTCCATTCCTGCAGTTTCAAAGATTGAAGGTAGCTTTCTTGAGAATCAGAGACCTATACTAAACTCCTCACTAGGCAGGGTTGAGTCAAAGCTGCTGTGGTCAAATATTATTCCTATTGGATGGCATGCCTTATCATGGATTGAATTGTGTTCCCCAAAAAGATATGTGGAAATCCTAATGCCCAATACACGTGAATGTGACCTTATTTGCAGTTGTAATCAAATTAAGATGAGGTCATTAGGATGCGACTGTGAACTTATAAGCAGAGAAGAGACACAAACACACAGGAACACCACCCTGTGATGATGAAAGCAGAGACTGAAGATGCAGCTACAAGCCAGGAAATGTCTAGGATCAATGGCCACTGCCAGGAGCCAGAAAGAGGCATGGAAGCATTCTCCCCTCCAGTTTTCGGGAGGGCCCTGCTGACACTTTGATTTGGGGCTTGTAGCCTCCAGAGCTGCAACACAACAAATTTCTGTTGTTTCAAGTCACACAGTTTGTGGTATTTTGTCACAGCAGTTCTAGGAATCGAATACACAGTTCCTCCATTGTCCTGCACTTCCTTATCTACACAACCAGTTATGACTTACAATCTCTTCTCTGAATATTTTGCCTTCATCTTTCTCCCAATTCAGGAATGTTCAGTCTTCCACATATCATAAATACGTGGGTTCACAACTTTCAATTTTGTCCTTAGTCTTTTGCTCTAAAGTCATTAAACATACACACAACTTGGGTTTACAACTTTCAATTTTGTCACTAGTCTTTTGCTATAAAGGCATTAAACGCACACACACACACACACACACACACACACCACTACCATCTACTTACGGCATCATTCTTAAGTTAGGACATGTTAACCCTCAACTCTCAGAATAAGGTACAGTTCTTTAAATATTTTAAGTTCTGTGAAAGCTCACTGCTTTGTCCCAACTTTCCCAGTATTGTTTCAGAGGCATACTTTATAGCACAAACATTTAAGAGTTTATGTTATGAGTTTCTCTGTGGCAGAGAAAAATATTAATACATAAATATTCATAAGCTCCTTTCCTTGTTTCCAGCCATCTTCCCCCTCCTTTCCCAAATTCTCTTTGACCATCTTGCAAAATGGGGATAATAAAAAAGTGAGAGGAAGAACTTGAGAAGCGGCAGCTGAAAGAATAGTGAGAATTCCTTTTTAAAACGGTAGAGAATCACTTCTCAAAAGAAAGTTTAGATAGATGAAAAGGTGGAGAGGCCTGCGTAGGATCGAGGCAGTTGGGGGAGAGGGGGATGATACAGGCATAAGAGAGAACTTGAAAATAAGAGATGAGGAAAAAGGAATTTTAGGAAATCTGCCTGATGTTGTGTGTAGCCCCCTTTGGTACCTTCTCGAGGGTGTGAGGTAGAGATTTAAACTGCTTTCGATAATATTTTTTGTCTTTTTCTGGAATTGTATCTCTTTGAGTGTGATTCGTTATAGGACCGGATAATAAAGCATCTCAGCCTTATTAGGATTATATATGAATGTGAGCAAAGGCAGTTTATTGTATAGTGGTTAGGGGAAAGGGCTCTGCAGTCAGAAGCCCTGCGTTTGAATCCCGGTCCCAATCCGCTTCTGCTGTGTGTCCGGGGACAACTGCTTTACTTCTCTGTGCCGCATATCCCCATCCACGAAAAGGGAGACAGCAGTACCCACTGCACTGGATCGTTGGGAGAATCGTGAGTTCACACACGCAAGGCAATGAGGACTGCGTTTGGCAACCGAAGACCCTCACACGTTATCCAGCAGTAAAACAGGAACCTACAGTCTCCCACCTGCTGAAGCAAACCAGCCTTCCGCGGCTCGCTGTTCCTAAACTTCTCGGCATGGGTACAGCCGCCAAACGCTCAAGTGCCTGATTCGTCGGTGCAGGCTGGGCTCCGACCTTCCCTCCGGGGGGCTCAGGGACGGCCGCTCGCTCGCGGGGCAGGCTGCCCGCCTCCTCCGGCGTTCGCGGGCATCCTCGACGCCCGGCGCCCCCCGACGCGCGCCACCCGCCCGCGCAGGCAGACGTCCCTCTCGGCTCCCCGCGCTCGCGGCACTTCGAACCTCTACGCGAGCTTTCCTCCCCGTCGCGCTGTAAACTGTTCCGAGCCTGACTCGCCCGGGCATCCTAGATGCTCAATTAAAGTGGCTGTAAAGGCAAACGCTGTACTTTCTCCCGCTATACAAAACGGGGGGGAGGGGAGGGGACCCTGT